GTTCTGTCTGGAGTATTTGAAAGGGTGTTGGTGTTTCCCCTGCAATAATAATATTTTCAAAGAGAGGAATATATGTAGGAAGAGAGGATTCAAAAGTGGGAACAAATCGGACATGAGGAGGACGGTAAATAACGATGAAGAGTAGGGAAAGGTAGAGGAGGAAACTTGGACAAACAGATATTCTATGCTTGGGAGGTCTGAAGAAGGAGATTTTAGAAGGACTTTGGCCGTCAGACTGTCATGAACAAACAATCCCACACCTCCGCCTCTTTGGTACATTTGATCATGACGAAAGAGGTTATAGTTGGGTAAGGAAACAGATAGGGAGGGTTTATCAGGAGAAGGAGAGAATCCCCAAAACCAAAGAATATCTCTAGGCAATTACACGTTTGAGAATTTCCAACAATTCTCTTATCTGGAGTCTCAAATTACAGTAAAAAATGAGACGTCACTTGAAATAAAGCGGAGAATAACAGTTGCCAACCGATGCTATTTTGGCCTACTTAAGCACATGAGAAGCTCACTACTTAGTAGACGAATGAAGCTGCAGCTCTATAAAACGCTCATCTGGCCAGCTCTTACATATGGTAGCCAAACATGGACCTTAGCCAAAAATGACGAATAAGGCCTTCTGGTATATAATATTTGGCCCTGTAAAGAAAGGACTGGATTGGAGAATTCGTAAAAAATAGAGAGGTTTATGAATTGTTCAATGAATCTAATCTGGCCAGAATAATAAAGATAGGAAGGCTGAGTTGGGCAGTATACATTTATTTCCACCAGTTCATTATTATCTTCGTCTACATTAATAATGTGTACAAATATTTTTGATCCGTTTGCTCCATCCATTATTTGCACTTTTCTTGTTTACTCATACCATGTATTTTAATTGTTAACTTGGTTTATTAACAACTGATTTTATTAATCTGTAAGAATTACAGTGGTATTAGATGACAAGATACATTAATGAGAACAATATAAATAAACGAAAATAAACCAGTATGAATTAATTAAATTACATGTTATCACTTATCCGTTTACAAATATAACAACTTGTGACCAAAAATATAACTGTCTGTCCAATACCAACTAGTATTTATAAATTTAAACTATGTAATGATAAATCTTATTTGATAGGCGCACATAGAAAGGAATGACCAACTGAAGTTAAACATCATTATTATTGATTTAATATATTAATTGTTTCTGATAAAAAGTTATTTAAATTTCTGTCATCAGTTTTAAAATTAATGACAATACAGGCCCTTCTCCACCCTTTTTAAAATCGGTGTATACCATAACAAACAATCTTTGTACAAACAGTAACACTGCCTATGGGCAATTTGAGCAAAAATCTAGCCTAAAGCATATACTACAAGTAAATTTGTCCAACTATTTAAAAAAATATATTTTGCAATATAAATATTAATTATAAACAATTCCTATGGAGAATAAGTATTGTTTCAACATAATTGGATATTGTTCACATTGGTATACTAAATTAATGATAAAGTAAGTGAAGGAAGGATTGAAGTTTAAAACAGGTTACGGAGCCTGCTAATAGCACTATCAATATCAATGGATAATAAGGGTTAAAGAGTTCTGAAAAGAATTATAAATGGTTAGCTAAAACAATCACTTCTATCGGACAGAGGAATGTAGAATAATAAAATTAAGAATATATGGAGGTTTTTTTGTACTTAGGTATTAGAAATGAAAATCATGTTGGAAGTATTGAAATCATTTATCAAGAGAAAGCATGGAAAAAGCAAAAATTAGTATAATCAAAGAATTTATTAAAGCCTTCAGATTCATACCAGGCTCTCATTTCATATGGTATTGATAGTTATATTATAGATAAGTAAAACATCTTCAAAGTATATCCAAGAAATCATTTAAATTTTTGTTTAGAAATATATCAATACATGTTAAAAAATATTAGTTGTTTTTGAAACCTTCAAATACCTCTTTCTGCTATTATCACACTAACAAACTATCCATCAAACTAAAGAACTTTTTTTTAATTCTAAAAGAAGTTGATTATTTTAAATCAATTATTTTTTCTATCCCAATATTTGTTTTGTTTTTAGGTATCACAATGGTTCTTACCTGCACCTTATCCAGATATCACAGATCTTTTGGTGCAAACAGTTTTCAGTCTTCTATAATCTTTTTCTAATGGAAAAAAATAGTTGCAATTATTAAGTGATGAATGTTATAAGCCTCGATCGGGCTCATTACTGCATATGGGGAGCGTCCCACGGGTGGCGGATGTGGGGATGGTCGGTGGAAATTCTCTGGAAGTTCCTCCCGGCTATGTCCGATGGACTCGCTGACCAACAATGAGAGGGGCCCTCCAGACTTGCTGGAGGCAGGGGACCTCCAGACTTGCTGGAGGCAGGGGCTCACCAGACTTGCTGGTGGGTGTGACGTAATATTGAATGCCCTACTCACATATCTTTAGTTCACCATACACCACAAATAGTCATGGATCTGCCTAAGGTAAAGTTTATGTTTTGAAGATTGATAAAGAAAGTTTGCATAAATATAGTAATGATAATGGGATCCATTTGATAAACTTTGCTATCTCGAAAAACTTGATAATTAAAAGTACTACGTTTAAACATAAGGATATTCACAAATATACTCGGACATCACCGGATTCGCAAACATGAAATCGAATCGATCATGTCTTGATACAACATAGCTGGCAAAGCAGTATAATTAATGTACGGTCTTACCGCGGAGCAGAATGTGGGTCGGATCATGAATTAGTAATCGCGAAACTTCGACAAAAACTTAATATAAAAAAGAAAAGAGAAAACCGTTTTAATTCTGAGAATTTTAATTTAGAAATCCATCAAGAACCAAATTCGAGCTAGATGTCACGAATAGGTTTGAAGCTTTAGAGCTTTCTGACGAGGACTGCGAAAAGGTTGACAAGTTATGGATAGAGATCAGGGATAATATTAAAGCGGTTGGTAACTCGTGTCTAGGAAAAAAGGAAAATAAGAATAACAAACCGTGGTTTGATGAAGATTGTTTAATTAAATTAAATATGTGCAAAAAAAGAAAAGCCGCTAAATTAAAAGCTCTAAATAATCGTAGTGAAGACAATCTGGAATACTTCCGAACCTCAAAGAACGAAACGAGAAAATTGCTCAAAAATAAAAAAAGGGAGTATCTTAAAAATAAAATAATTGAAATAGAAACTAATAGAATCGAAAATAACGTTAGAGACATGTACAAAGGTATAAACAGATCACGTAAATGTTTAGAGCCCATAACGTCTGGAATTATGGATGAAAATAACAATATTCTGACTGATCCGGTTGACATATTAAATAAGTTTAAGAACCATTTTGACAATATTTTAAATACGGGAAATTATGATCTGTGTCCTCCTTCTGAGTACCAGAGTGCTGAACCGTTGATAGAAGAACCGAGTAAAGAGGAAGTTGAAGTAGCTATCGGAAAATTAAAATGTTATAGAGCAGCGGGAACCGATAATATTCCTACTGAACTAATTAAGGCATGCGGAGAAGTTGGAGTTTCCAAAATATATTATTTGGTTAAAAAGATCTGAGAGAACGAAAATTACCTGAAGAATGGAAAGAATCTATTATTATTCCTATACACAAAAAGGGCCTGAGAACGGATTGTAATAACTATCGAGGAATGTTACTCCTTCACAGAATACGCCGAGGAAATTATCGGAGACTACCAATGCGGATTTCGACGGAATCATTTGACTATTTGATCAAATATTTTCTTTACGGCAAATATTAGAGAAAAAATTAGAGTACAACGGTATTGTTCACCAGCTGTATATCGATTTAAAAAAGGCTTACAATTCTATTGACCGCCAGAAACTGTATAATATTCTAATCAAGCAGGGGATTCCCAAAAAAATAGTAGATCTAGTCAGGATGTGCTTGACGGAAACACTCAATAAAGTTAGCATAGGTAATAATTTGTCCGAAAAGTTTGAGGTTCATTCGGGTTTGAAACAGGGGGATTCCATTTCGCCTGTCCTGTTCAATTTGGCATTAGAACATGCCATTAGAGAGGTAATGCGTACCGAAAAAGGGTTTGATCTGGGTGGGACAACACCCGTGCTGGGCTATGTGGATGATCTGGTACTGTTAAGCGAAGACGTGGAAACTATAAAACTAAATACGACAACGTTAATGAATGCCAGTAAAGAACTAGGGCTCGAAATAAACACAGATAAGACAAAATATATGGTTAGATGCAAAAATGGTGATATTACTGGTGATATCGATATAGATGGTAATATGTTTGAACAGGTAGAGAAGTTTAGGTATCTAGGGTCTACGATAACTAGAAAAAATGAAATTGAAGAAGAGATTAAGGTTAGACTGAAAGCGGGAAATGCTTGTTATTTTTCTGTGACAAAGCTACTTAGCTTGCACCTGTTGTCCCGCAACTTAAAAATTAGAATCTATAAAACTATTGTCTTACCTATAGTTCTTTATGGTTGTGAAACATGGCCGCTTACATTAAGAGATGAGCAACGACTTAAGGTTTTTGAAAATAAAGTATTGCGTAGAATATTTGGACCGAAGAAGGATGAATTAACTGGAGAATTCAGGAGATTACACAACGCCGAATTGCGTGAACTATATCCGAGTAAAATAATTGAGCTGATTTCATCCCGGCGTATCAAATGAGTCTGTAAAATTGTTGGGCTTAATAACGAGAGAATTCCTAAAAGGTTAATATTTGCTGTACTGAATGGTAAACGTCCAAGGAGTAGACTGAAGTGAAGGTGGGCAGATTGCATTAAAGCTGATCTGAAGGGACTAGGTTTGGACGGTGAATGGTGGAGGGAGGTGTGTAATGAGCGATTGGTGGTGTCGGCATCGAACCTTCGGGTTCGCTAAGCCTTATATTATTATTATTAAATGTTATTAGAAAACTACGGACCATAAATATTTTAATTAAAGTTGTATCAGTGGAAAAAATAAGTTTAAAAATTATATAAATGAAATATAAATTTATTTTACTAATTCATTAATTTCAATAGATATATTTTATATACATATTTAAGAACATCTCTTAATTTTACTTATGATAAATCATATTATTTTACAATTTTAAAAAGATAATTTTGCTTATATACATAAATGACAATAGTTTTAAAATATTGTCATAGTGATATGGCATGTTCAATAAATAGACATACAGCATTGAACATTCTTGAAATTAAGGAAAAATATAGTCTGAAAACAATGAAATATTGCATTGTCAACAGTCTCTTTACATTAAAACTTAAATTTAAATTATTCTCTTAATATACCTAAAAAATAATTTATTTTATTAAAAATAAAATATTTACATGAATTGGATGTCAATCAACATTTATCAGTTTTTAAAATGTACTAGTCACAAAACGATGTCACTACCATTATATATTAAGTAATAGATTCTAAAATTTAACCTGCATAGATAAAATGAAAGCTCTGTAGTTGATTGTTTTCTGAAAACAGTTCAGTTCTGAAAAAAATATATATTAAATTAAATGAGGAGATAAAATTGTTTTATTAAAAAAAAGAGTTTATAAGAAATGAAAGAAAACTGCTTAAAAATTCGAGCATCACATTATTATTATCAGCACTAGTAAATTATATAATAGTGTACCTTTTGTCTTTTCACTACAGAGAAAAACCAATATCTGCCATGGTCTTGTCTATCCAAGGGCGAGCATATGCTACACCAGCATATACTCCTGGAGTTTCATCTCCACAACCAATGCCCCAAGCAACTAAACCAGTCACTTCATATGTTCCTGGTTTTCCCTCGATTGGGCAAACTAGTGGACTTCCTCCGTCTCCCTATAAATAGAAAGTATGCTATAGCTTGTTAATTATTATAAATTAATCATAATTTAATGTAAGTTTTATTTAATAGAAAAATAATTAGTATCCAAGTCAACATTGAATTAAAAATAAAGCCAAAAATAATTTTTTTTTTTTTTCCCTATCCCCCAGGAATTTCTTTATTACAAAGTACAATATATAAATGTTATATATACATAATTTTTTTTATTTCCTTTTATTGCCCAAGGGCATTTTAAGGTAAGAGCGCTATGCACGCTGTAAGCGTACCTTGCATTTGTGGCCCGAGGCCTTTTATTATACCACTGGGCGTGGAGGGACTGCCCTTTCAAAAATAATACCCCACTCCCAAGCATAAATACCAACTCCAGGAAATGCAATATTTGAGAAGGAAAACTCAGAATAGTACAATAAAGAATAACCTTAATGTAAAATAATCTGAAGAGCTAATTGGAGTACATTGGCTGAGGTAGTTTGGAGATGTCTTGAAATGTTGAGAGGAATAAGATGGTAAATGAGAAGACCTGAGTGAAAACTCAGCAAAGTATGATGCATGCACTGGAAATACTGATACTGGTGGAGGGAACTAGTATAGGAATTGAGTCATAGAGTTATTTTTGCCATCTCCTCATGGCTACCCAAAAGTTGCTGCCACATACTAACCATAGTGGGAGTATCAAGATTCATTTCCTGGGTACAGAGAAAAAAATATTAGCTGGTCTAGATTGGAATCTAATCCACTACATTCATAAATGGGCATTCATAGTGGGCTGTACCATCACGATCACTTAAATTTGGGGTAGAGAAGAGCTGGTCCCAAAGAGAGACGCTTAGATCAAGACAGCTTTGATGGATCAAGATTATAGATTAAGAAAGAGAATGAAAATTAGAATTTGTTATTTGATTTATTCAATCTTCACTCTCATCATTTAAGTGAATATATTTCATTTTATCACCCTAGAAAAATAAATATGAGCTGATCGTTTAGCTCAAATGAGCCCAACGAATGGCTAGAATATTGAAGAGGTACTACATGGATCTATAAAATGTGAAAGACTAAGACTCTGCTGGAAGGATGGAATTGCTTGCAATGCTAGGATCCTGCTTGGCATTCTGAACTGTTGATTACTGTACAGTGACAATTGGCAGAGATTGATTCAGAAGACTGAGAACTAGAAATTGATTATGTGCCATTAAAGAAAAAGTTTCAATAAAAGGAAGAAAGATATTGTTGGTTTATTGAAAAAAATCCCTAATTTTATTTTTAGAGATTCTAGCATTTTTGATATAGGTTAACTTTGAAATATGTTTTTCTGAATTTCAACATTATTTCTCGGTATAAAAAAACTGCAAGTGCATGAAAATGATATAAACCCTTTAGATATCAAATATACTAACAACAAATTCACAATTTTCCGTATTCATGAAGGGAGAACTCTTTAAAGTTCTCAATTATTTAAGGTTATGAAATGTCACTTGATGAATCTTTGCAATAAACCAATGATATATTGTAAGTTTTTTTTTCATTCCGGCATCTATTCAAATGGGCTGGCAAATAAACATCCTCTTTGTTCATACAGAGAAAAGAAACAATAATGAACTGAGGGAATCATATAATTAAAATAAAAAATTAAGATTAAATTTTCTTATTTTAAGAGAGCTAAAAGTTTCTTTATATATGCAAGAGAATTGAAGTTGGAAGTGACAATAAAATAAATAGTTGATAATAAAAACTTCCTGCTATATTGATGGTTTAAATAAACCTAATAAAATATATAGCAGTTGAGACGCATCTAAAGAATCAAAAATTCCCTGCAACCAAAAGTATTCATCATTAATTAAATGTTCAACTACTTTTTCTGAAAAAAATAAACAAGATCTAAACTGAATTAAAAATCAAATGTTTTATATTTTTTTCTTTATGAATTCTCCTTATATTCATGAAGCTGTAAAACTATTCATTGTAAACTCTGATATTGGTTTTCTTACTCAAAATTATTGAAAATAACATAAAGAAAATGGATTATTTTGTGTTCCTTAATGTATTCCAATTAATTTTTTTTTTCTATAATGTTAGCTGATAAGGTTCCAAGAAAGGGGAGGCATGAAATGAGACAATATGTTAAAAACATTTGATGCTCGTCTATTATTCTAGTATTGATAAAAAAATATACCTTAATGAAAGAAACTGAGAAAACATTTAAGAGTTGTTTCTGAAATTACCTTACAAGTATCTTTTCCGACCACTCCTCCTGCACACACAAAGCTTTCATGTAATCTGAAGTATTGACCAAGCCTGGTTTTGCGGAGGAGATCGACACAATGGTCCTTAGGTACTATTGGTAGATCAATTTTCTTGAGAATTACTTGATATGTACCTTTCTGACCTGTATCATAACCATAATATTAAAATGTTGCAATAATTTTATTAAAATTACTATTTTATTCAAAATTAATAGATTAATTTCTAGTTCTGCTATGTTTAGTACAGAAAATAACATTGAGTATCTCTAACTTTTATAGAATAGAATAGAATAGAATAGAAAAATAATTTTATTCTGGGACGAAGTCCCTTCAGAATAACAAAAAAGTACAGAAATTAAAATTTTACATCTGGCCAGATAAAAACAAACATAACAAATTAAGATAATGATAGGTCATTAAAGAAAAGAAAAGAAAAAAATATTGGTTATACATACTATATACAAAATAAAATAAAAAAATCTATATAAAAAACTCTTGAAACCATACTAAGATACTTAAAACTATGTAGGATGTTAAAATATAAGTAAACCCTTTTAGAAAAAATAAAAAATACAGAAAAAATAAATGTATATTCTTCTTAACAGTAAAATCTGTTTCTGTTGAAAAAGAAAAAAAAAAAAAAAAAGAGAAAAAGAAAGTCGAATCTATAATAAGTATTCAGGTCATGAGCTATATGTGAATATGGTCTTATAGATAATGTGTAATTTTACATAAAAGATTAGCTGGTGCCTGACTGTTTTTGGGACAGGAATTGGAATAGGAGGGTTTTGAATGTAGATAAGGATGAAGAATGTCGAATTTTGATAGCAAGGGAATTCCAGAAACTAACAGAACGTGCAATAAAGGAGTTTTGGAATGAGGCAGATCTGTGAGAAGGAATGTAAAGGTCGGAAGGTCGAGATCTTGTGGAGAGGGAGTGGACTGAGGACTTGAATTGGAGAAGGTTGTAGGCGTAGGAAGGATGATGATTGTTGATGATATGATAGAGGAATGAATATATGTCATATGAATGAATGAACATATGAATGAAGATATGTGATATATCGATAATACCAATAAGTACATTTAGTTATAGTAACCTCACAGTGTTATTTTTTTATAATGATTAAAAGAGTTGTGATTACTAATATTGTAGTGTTGTGTTTTAATATTCAAATACCTAACAACAATTTTTTTAAACAATTATGCATCAATAAGTAAGGTATTTTTATAAAATGAATTTTGCAGTGAAAGTGTTAAAGCTATATTTTTGAGTTAATAAAAGCTTTTGTAAATTAAAGTAAAACTGAATGGAGCACTCTAGAAGTTCAATCTATATGATGAATTCAATAGCAGAAGTTTTACAATGAATTTTTTAAGTGAAAACTTATTTAGGCGAACACTTTTTTTGCGGGTATGTAAAGCCGGCTCAACAGCAAGTTGGCTAATTGAAGCCAAAACTTCTTTTTTATGCATCTATACTAAGATATCTGTGAAACTGTAATTCAGACTTGCATACTGTAAGCAAGGGAAACATTCAGCATTTCATCCCCTTTGTGATGAGCTATTATTCAAAATTTTATCTCAACAACACACCGTGTTAGAGAGGCGAAAAGGGAAAAAATATTAAAAAACAAATGATAATGACTGTTTTGAAAATTTTGACCAAAATATCTCAAAATTTAAATACTATGGAGAATTTAGAAACCAATTTGCAGATGTTAATATAGATATACTTTTTAATCAGTAGTGAAAATAAGAATTAAGTGTTTCTATTTGTTTTTATGTTGCAATCAATGGTATTTCGACAAATTACTGACACTTGTTACAAATTTTTTATATTTTGACATTTTTTAAAAAGTACCAATACTGCATAATTGTCTTATTCTAATTGATATTTCATTGTATACAAATGTATAAATATTTAAATATTTTCTGTCAGTATGATTAGTTTAGAGCAGGGATCTCCAAATTTTCGGACCAAGGCCACATTGAGACCTGCACCAAGTATCGCACACTGTGACATACAATCAGTCCCGCGGGCAATGGCATGTGATGAAAAAAAATTCTTGTACCAATGATGACACCTGAATTACTATATGAGCTTTGTATCATGTTTGAGTGATTTATTAAATTTTATATTTTAAAAATTTATCAAGTAATCAAGGAAACATTTACGGGCCGAATTGGAGGTGCTTGTGGGCTGGATCCGGCCCACAGGCCATAGATTGGAGACCTCTGGTTTAGAGTCTGATACAAATGACGATCAGTCAAAGCAAAGTTTATCAGACTAATTTATACAAAATTGTAATTTTATGTATTGTAAATGTTATTACTTCGTTAATATAGAATAAAAAAATATTTATATTTCATATTATTAATCCTGCCTTGAAGTTTTAAATTCTATCATGTGGTCTTAAGCAGACACCGGAACTTTTTTTTTAAATGTTGAAGTTTTCAAAAATCTTGATTTCAAACAAAATACAAGTTTTTGTAATAAAATAAAACCATCAAACATATTTTTGTAATTTAGATGAACATTTAAAGTTTCTCTTGTACTTTTGATTTGTCAGTAACTAATAATATTATGTAGGGTGAATTGTTATGATTGATTTTATTCATAATAATTTTATAATTAATTGTTTAAATAATTACCGAACAGGTCTTTTCCCCACCCACTGGCATAACATTCTCTGCTAAGTGGCACAACTCCTGGCGATGGCAGGCAAACTGTATCAACATTTTCAGCAAACTCAAATGGTTTCTCTATCACTAACAATGCAAAATCATTCCATAAATTTCCAGACTGAAATCCAGGATGAACAATGGTCCGCACAACTTTTCTGTTCTGATGAGGAAAAATTTCATTTGTTCTTTGGGTGTCCCATTCTCCTGCTCGGACATATATCTCACTGTCTTCTTTTTTTCTAAAAAAGAAAAAAAATTGTCACTTATATTGTACTGTATTTGATTATTTTTGACTTTATATTCATTGGATGAATTTCTGTATAACAATAAATTGAGGAACATGCTAGCAAAGGGGACATCCCCACTTATGATCAAAATTGAGCTTTTATGTGGACTGATAGTTTCCATAAGCTAGTTGTTCAAAATGTTATATTTTGGTTTTCCATATTCTCAATATTTTACCCTTAGGAAAGAAAATGGAAAGACTGACTTTTGAAGAAAACTGAATATCTACAGTCAGTGTAAAATTTTGTTTTCGCTATAAATTTACAAGCAAAATATTCAGTAATTAGCTTTGAAAAAATATTTGGCACTCATATGAATAAAAAATAACAAAGCAAGAGGTTAAAACAATGGTTTAACATTTCGAAGTAAAGGAAGTCTGTTTATGACCTCGAATGAATAGCCAATCTACAGTTATAGGCAGAACAAATGTAACCTAAGATTAAAAACATAATGACATACACATATTTCATGACTTGGCCATCAGGAAAAGAAATTCAGTATGAGGATCAGTTTGAGAAAATTCTGCATTGCTTAACATAACAAAATCAATCATTGTACATTTCAGGTAAAAGTATTATTTTTGAATTAAATAATATTTATTGCTGACTTTATAATTGATGTACTTTTTACTAAATGTATTAACTTCTCAAAAAAAAAAATATATATGCAGTACTTAAGTAAGAATTGATATCTTACTTGGTAACACAGTGAGCTGCTGTTAAAACAACACTTTCATGGATAAGTGCTCCTCCACACTGGTATACCATTAATTCTGTACCATCTTCTAAAACACTTCGCCTCAATAGTGCAACCTGTTATAAGAAATATAAGGCCTATATTAATCTTAGTTAAAACAATTATACAAACATATGAAACTATGTTTTAACATTATTTAAAAAAAAAAAAAAACTTATCAATTATCAAATGTTAAATATAACATGATGGAAAAATTGCACAAGGTAATGAAAATATATGTATTATCAGTTACATATAAACACATTACAAACAGAATAATTATTTCAGAAAATTATCATATAATCTACATTTAGTCTCTGATTTCAGTACTAAAGAAAATGCCTGATCCCACAAATTCTCTAAAAGTACCAGACTTTGGTAATGGACGTATCCATTCACCCACTCCATGTTAATATTAAATGTCTTTATGGCATTTTTATGACTTATCTCTAATGATACATAAAATGGCTGTAAAGAAATTTTCTAGTAAAATACAAATTAATATAAAAAATGTATCCCATACCTCCTTTTGAAATTATCATTTACTGGCATTAAAATCTGCTTTGTCATGCTTTATAAACAAATCATTAAGGAAAATCTTTGCTTTTTCAACTTATATATCTACAGAAATTAGACACCCCTGTGATCTCTGCTACAAAAAACACATATAAAGAGATTGCTCAACTTCTAGATGAACACCTCGTGTTTAAATGTTTTCAATACTACAATACAATTCACACGAAGCAATTCCAGTAATATGTACTGAGAAACAGATAAATTTCTAATGTGTCTCTCGTCTGTCAACTTTATTTAAATATATTTTTCAAATTATTAGGGGTTCGGATTATTGAGACAGTCCTGACACATTATGTGCTTTTACTACATCTCAAATTCATCAAACACGCAACATAAATCTGGAAATAACTGATATTGGCCTGTCAATTGACAGAATGACTAACTCCAATTTCAACATTTTTTTTATTATAGATTTTAGTGATATGTCTAGTGGGAAAATGTATTCCTTCTTTATTCACAGTTTTATATTTTAACACTGCAATCACCTACCTCTTGGATCAACTTACAAACTGTCTGCACATTTATTACAAATTTCCCAACTAGAAATATCACTAAAGTGGCATTACTTAAAGATGTTGAAATTGGAGTTAGTCATTCTGTCCACTGAAAGGCTCATACATAAAATTAGGAGCTTAGATTGTTTGACCACATTTACAGTTTGGTAGAAAATAAAGACCTATTCAAAGCTTTAAAGCTCTATTCAACTTTAAAAACTTTGAGAAAGATCTAGAATTTCACGTTATCTCTACGTAAAGGAAACAAAGGCACTGGGCACTCATTGAACTGACATGAGAATATTCTGTCATTACTGACAGGATTAGCAATGCTTGTGAGTCCTTCAAGTTAAAAAGGTCAAACTAGAAGGGAATGAAATAGAAGTTACATGATATAGATGAAATAGGTTTAATAAAAAACTAATATTACCATCCAAGGAAATTCACCAAATTGTGCTTCATTGTTGTTATCCCCAATTATTCTGAAGCCGACACCATCTGGGTGACGTTGACCACATCCCTTCCTTTCTCTAGGTTCTGGCTCAATAGGCTTTTCAGTTGGATCTTTGCAGCATTGATCTATATAATCTTCACAAACACCTCTTATCCTATAGAAAATTAAGCAAATCAAAATTTACATTTTTTCCCCATCCATACCTTTACACACGCACATATATTAAAAAAATGTAAATAAATATTGTGTAAAGATTTCTTCCATTTTAACGGGGAACTAGATTATTTACTACACTCGTGAATATTAAAACAAAACCCCGGCACTGGATATAGACTTTTTGAGGGTGTTTAACTGTTGTTGGGAATTCGGGAATCTAATACCTTTTGTGACACCGAGTGACAAGAAACAATAAGAATATATATAATGTGGGACTGAGTAAATACACTTTGAATGAATTGACTCACCTGTTTTATTATTCTTCAATTTTGAGACCTATGGGACAATTAAATAAATAAATGACTTTTCACTCCAGTCTAAAAAAATAATTTATTTTACAACTGTAATAAGTAAATCTATTAAAGTCTTATAGCTGTAGGCTTGATATTCTTGGTCTTAAATATAGTATGCTTCTCTTCTCACCTAAGGTCATTCCGCCTTAATGTCCCAGCCTCAAGTCCTCTCGCCTCCGCGTCCCAGCCTCAAGTGCCTTCCCTTCTGCAGCTGCTGCTACCTTACCGGACCTTTTTCCTTCTTCGTCGATTGTTTATCGATATGAGACTTTTCAATGAACAATTTGTCCATTGCACAGTTGAGTACAATTCACAGTGAAACCTCACATTCCTATATATTCCTTCTCATTTCCTCACACAATGTCACATAAAAGAGTAAATACCGGGGGATGTCTACTGCGATTGAATGGAAAGAAAAACTCGGTATTATTCATTTAAATAAAAAAACAACACAAAAAGGTGGTATATTATTTCTTGCAAATAAAATTTGGAGAAACCATCAATTAATAATTAATAAACTTTAAAAAAAAAATGATAAGCGTACAAAAATACTTAAAATTGAACAACATTAGAACAGCTTTTATTTTTTAAGGTCTTCCATCATAAAAATTTAGAGATTTATGCTGATATAATGGAAGTATTTATGTTAATATAAGATGTAAAGCAGCAAAGGTCTTATTTTCAATTAAAGTACTAATTTCAATAATGAAATAAAAAAGTCAATAAATATACATTTTAAAGAATGTTGAAACCAGCCCCTATGGTGATTGCTCAAACTTTCTTCCCCTTTCAAAGCAATTTTGTTTTGTTCACTTCTTAAAAATGGTGCAAGTGAAAGTGCAATCATGAAAATTGTAGTTTATATAAATTACACTTGCTGTGATCTGTTTTATATATTTTCTCTTGATCCTTAATTTAAAAGTTCAAGTTGGAAACCCATAAAAAGTGGTTCTCTTTTAAATTCATAATCCCATAAAAATGTGAATCCCCTCAAAACTTTTGATATAGCAACTCTAGTCACCCTTTGCTGGGCACTCATAGTTGAAGACCTATGAAGTAACATTAAAAGTGATGCCTGATTATTTAAGTTGGAATCTACAAATTAACTAATTTTTTAGTTATATATAGTTGTTTGTAGTAACCTCTTAATCATATGTTATCAATAAATAAGTTTTATCTATGGCTTTGATAAGAAAGTTTGTGCAACTTTATTTCTGATTTAGAAGAAATTCACAGAGTTTTAACAACAATTTATTAAAATTGGGAAAATGTATTAGACTAAATTTTGCTAAGGTATTCTGTTTGGAACAGAAATCATTAATTCTAACATGATAAACTAATAGTTATCTGAATAAAGAAGGAATAATTTGATTATCGAAACTGAAATAAGGTTTTTTGATTATTATTAAACACCCTTGAACATGATAAAAACAAAATTATATCACACAGAGGATAAAACAATCACTGAATCAAAATGCATATTGTATCCTCCTCAAAATATGTATGAATAATGCCTTTTAACTTCAGAAATGAATATTCCTTGATCAATTTGACCATTTCAAACTGGACATAGTTGCCATCCAGGAGATAAGATGGATTGGTTCAGATGGAGTAGGATTTGTTGTTAGAGGATAATATAGGTAACTGGTCATTGGCTTTAAGCCTGAAGGATCTCCTTCAAAAGGTCTGGAGGCCCTGCTATAAAACTTAAGAACTATAAACTTAGAAAGTTTCAGGAGCCATATGCCAAACAGCTGTACACCGAGCAACTAAATGAGAATCTTCGAGCTTAGGCTGTTAATTAAGAAAATATAGAATCTGGAGCTGATGATTTTCCTACTGAACTCTTCAAGAACGGAGGTGAGGAATTGGTTAAAAGGTTCCAGAATTTAATCTCGACCATTCGGGAGGAAGAGGTTTTGCCGGAACACTGGAAAAAGTCAGTTATATGTCCTATCTTCAAAAAGGTGACGGACTCCAGTGTAAAACTACAAAGGTATTTTTCTTCTCTCCTCTGGATATAAGATTTTATCTAACATCCTGTTGCAGCATCTTCTACCCTTTGCAGAGCAGAAGCTTGGTCCCTAGAAATGCAGATTTTGACAAGGAAGATATATGACAGATCAAATATTCTGCCTCAGAAAAATCCCAGAGAGGCACTTGAGAAGGCAGTGATGGGATTATGGTCTACAAACTAACAGGTCTATTTACAATCAGATGGTTAAGCCATTAGTCTATGTGGATGATGTGGACATAGTGGGGCGGTCATTACAGTCTGTTAGAGAGAGGTTTTTAGCTTTGTTGGAGGCCTCTAGAGCACTTGGGTGAATGAAGACAAAACTAAATATATGGCCACAGGAGAAGAGCCTCGACCTGGCGATACCATCAACATTGGCCTCTTTAACTTTGATAAAATAGCATAGTTTAAGTATTTGGGGTCACTGGTGACACATGGCTGTGTTAGTTAGTTATATCTCTCTTTGCTTTAATATAGAGAATAATTATTTTGATGTTTAAAAACTGTATAAAAACAAAACATTTCATTATATCAAAATTTTTGACCATGTTGATCCTATTGCAAGGAATCAGAAATAAAGAATTTCAAACCAAATCTACCTTATGTCTAGTATTCCAGTACCATCAGTCACTACATTTCCATTGTTACACTGGTAATATGGGACACAACTGCACTGATCACCATTTTCATCAACAGCTTCCCTTGGCTTATTGTTTTTTGGATCGGTATTTCCTTGTTTATCCTCTGGCAGAGCAGGATCTTTCCCGAATACATCTTCAATTAATACATCCAGATCACCAGATTGTGATCTAACTAGGCCTAGTAAGCAGGCAAACAGTAAAATCCTTACAATCATTGCCTAAAAATTACAGAGAAAAAACAAAATGTTCCATTACACAAAAAAATATTAAACTTACTTATATATTATACAATTTATAGAAAGAACTAATACTAAAGAATATTGATAAAACAATTAATATTATATCAAAAACATCAGTTCTGTATGGCTATTTTGCAATATGTTCTTGTGATGTAATCTTCCGTTCTTTGAAAAAAATATATACCTGATGAATAGTTTTATAGTATGCTTCATGAGGCACTTTAACAACACAATGGTATTTATTTATTTTTACTTTTTATTTTTTGACTGAACAACCCAACCAACTAGTTATACTTAACCATTTAATTAGTTGTTTGATAAGACAATATATGTATGACCCTACCTGGGAACGCTAAATGAATAATGCTCATTGTTTTAATGTAATTCTTCCGTTCCAAAAACAATTGAAGGATGCCTCAATGTTATAATGGATCCTTTTTCATTTTAAGGCAGTCCTTACATGTTACGAGACAGTGTAAAAAAGGACGACCGTGTTTTATTTGTTTTCATATAAGAATAATCTAATCTAAGATAGATCAATATTATACATATTTTTTTCTTTCATATGAATATTCTTCTCATTAATGAAAAAAATGTAAAACTTAGTGAGATTAATAAATGAAATTATTCAAAAGTTTTCAAAATCAAGAGAGCTTGTCACTAATAACTGTGCTGAAAACGATTTGTCAACTAGAATACAATTAAAAACTTAAAACCTTAAAATTTATTTTTTTGTCTGCATTGGGGCTTTACTGTATGATGCTTTAACTATTCTTTTTAGAATCAAATATTTAAATTTAATCTGCATTCATATAGAAAATGACAAATAACTTGTTCAGATTTCCCAGGACTGATGGGAGAGGATAACTACCCACACTTCATGGAGTATGTGAGAAGGTGGAAGGAAGTGGTGGACCCTACGCACTTCATCCTGGGAAAAGAACGCCTAGCCGAGGTAGGGAGGAGAAGAATTGGCACCCAAAAGGCCAACAGACATGGAAGAGCTGGAGGAGTGGACAAGAGGACTTGGTAGGAAAAAAGAAGGCTGGGGATGGTTGATAGGCACTGGAAGATAAAAAAGGTGCAGTCCACTCAGAAGGTGCGCTGCACCTAGGCCACATACCGGGCTGCATACACTGAATACCCTGTTTTGTTGTTTCTAAATATATAGACATATCCTATATCATACCTATATATTAATAATGTGTGCAATGAAATAAAGAGTATCGGTGGCAGTGACATGTCCAGATCTCATCTGCAAAACCTGTATGCCAGAAATAGCAAGATAGGGTGAAAAAAAATTTTGTTAAATGCTTATATTAAATACTAGCTGGTCTCAATGATTTATCCATCCATCTTAAATTTGGACCATACATGTCTGATTTATACAGCTGATGTAGGCATGATCAATTGACATCAAACAAGGGTTTGATGTCAGTTGGTTAACTGAGTAACAGGGAATTTATGAGGAAAAAACAGAACATCTACTAAAAACAAACCAACTTGATAATAAGGATATTTGATGGTTCAGCCCAACTCCTAGCTTGTTGGGATGTTGAAAAATATCAATTTATTGACATTAAATAATATCAATATTAAATTGTGTGTCTGTGCAGTTCTGGACATTCTGCCCCCCTCCCCCCCCCAGGAAATGACAATTGTCACTTTGACAATAATCAAATGATGATTGTCTTAATTTTGTTTATGTTGAGGAATTTAATTAACTTTTTTCTAGTTCTAAGCAATAAGTTTTCATAAGAATAAATGTCAATACATTTGTCGGTTTTTAGTAATTCATTCACCAATTTTCCTTCCATTCTTTTTGATTTTTTTTTTTTTAAGTTCCTTCTTATAATAATACTTTTTTTTATAAGCAATATATATTTTTATCTTTGCCATTAAAACCATTATAATTATAAGACTTCAATTAAATACTATGCTCTCCCTCTATTTCGAAAGATTTAAAAACATCGAGCCCGGAAAGATTGATATTTTTCATAGTTATTTGGGTGTATTTAAATATCGAAAATGAATCACTATTATTGTTCGATATTAATAAGATTTAAATTAGTAAGCAGTTTGACTAATGCAAAAGCATTATTCAAATTGGATAAGTAGCTCCTGGAATTCCCGTGCTCAAACCAGAAAACTCTCGGGTATGTATGATGAATTAACAATACATTTTTACTTTCACTTACTCATATGGTAGAGAAGAGTATTGCGATCGTGACAAATTCCAAATCCAAGTTTTTAACCGAAATAAACATTTCAATGTTCTCGGAATCCAAATGATCAAGTCCCACAAAATGGTCTGTGTGTATATGCGTGTGTCTGTTATTATATGTATGCTCGTCCATGTGAAAAGCCTAGCTCAAAAACTGTAAGTCGTATGAAACTGAAAATATGTATATAAGGTAAGTACATGCCTGGGATGTTACAGCAACTTTTCCTATAAAATTGATTAATCGGAAGTGTTACTTTATATCATCGATTTTACACATTTTTAGTTCTGAAATTGCCTGAATTTGGAAAAAATTGGTTTGATTTCAACTTGAGGATTTTATTTTGGAATGTTCTGAATAACCTTTTTTTTTTTAAATACTGAAAATCAATTTCTATCCCACCCAATAATACAAACTATACGATATACCTTATCAAATCTCACCTAACACATCATATCATTATACTAGATCATATGGCTCAAGCATCACATCCATTAATACTTTTTAAACATTTATACAGGAGTTTGTGTATTCAACAAGCAGACGGTACCACCTAAACGTTCACTGAAGTGATTTATTTGGATCCTTAAATTTTTAATTTAATCCAAAAGGAAGAAGTTATTGGATGTTTAATTTCATAATTAGTTGCCAGGTATTTTAAAGCTTAAAAGCACTACAGAAACATATCTTAATATCCAATTTTAGGAGTTTCCAATACTTGTCTAAAAACTAGAAGATTCTTACAAAACCAAAGATTGCCTGTATCACTTGAAATCAGAGCAAGGAGATAAACCGATGGATGAGATACGCAATCTGCCAACAACAATCGATGAATTCAATTACTCACCATGAGAAATAAAAATACCTTTAATAGATTTAACGCTCGATAAGTATAAGAAAAACAATTTTTTAACATTGAGATCTCTGAAAGAATACAAAAAAATCTAAACACCGATATAGTAAAAGTGTCTGTCTTTACACAGATAACTCGAAAACAAACGTGTGGCGTTCCATAGTAACAGCATCAAGCTTAAGTAAATATTAGTTCCCACCTACAACCAGTAATTATACTGCAGAATGCCGTTAGTGGATACAGGATTAAAAAAAAATAGAAAGAAATTAACTAGATTAACTAGATTAACTAAATTAACTATAAGAAATATGAAATGGTGTTTAAGTGGTTCTTTATGTCCTATTAAATGTAATTATATGAACAAGAATACTTTAAGAGGTAGTTTATCATATTTTTTTCAGTAAAAAATGGTTATATTTAACGATATTTGAGGGGAGGGGCTTCAATCCGAAAGCCTCCCCCCCCCCCGTAAATCCGCCTGTGCAGAATGTTGTACTATCAGTGCAGCACTCTACCATATTATGCAACGAGAAGAAGTAAACTTAGTAATATTTACATATTCCTTCTCTGCTATTGACTGACACATATTCTAAAGACTTGATAATGAAGAATGCTAAGGCTTACTCTACAATACTTAATAAAATAAGTAAGAAACTAGTCATAATCTTAACACCATCACACGTAAGGTAACCAAGAAAACAGCTTTATCATTCTTAGAAATCATCGGAATTCACGCATCAGATATATGCAGTTTTCTCAAACTTTAAGCTAAAGAGACTTGGGATGCGCTTTGGGAAACAGCCACCAAATAAGCTCAAAAATATTAAAACACAAATTAAATCTTGGAAGAGTTCAAACTAAAATAGCGGAAAAGAAGAAGTTTGCTTTCACACGATTAAGAATTGGCCAAACTCGCCTGACGCATGGCTGTCACATAAAAAAAAAAATCAGACTGTGTGTCAAAATGTGAGACATGCAATGCGCAGCTGACGATTAAAGAAATTTTAGAAGATTGTCAGATATACACTGACAGGCAAAAAATGCCACCCACTTGATTTTTCCACGTTTTCATCTAAAAATATTTCTGTAAAGTTGTATTTGTATATAATACATGGTATTTGTAGATAATACTTAGTATTTATGGAATTTTATAATCTTTTTTACCTTTAATAATCAAAATGTGATTGGGTAAGAAAGATTAGAGAAAAAAAATTGAAAAACGAACCCTTATTATTCTAAAAGAAATTAATTACATCATCGTTTAGTAGCGCGTGTTTTCTCATCTTGCCTTCACTACTTCTTAAAGACGCCTCGGCATAGTTCCCACCTGTCGGGAAATGTCCCTTTGCTGGAGGATAGCCCATTCCTCCCGAAGAGCCCTTTCAAGGTCCTGCAGTGTATCAGGAAGTGTTGCACGTGCTCTTATTCGTCGTCCGAGGTTATCCCATAAATGCTCAATGGGGTTCAAATCTGGAGAACGTGCTGGCCAGGCTAAAACCTCAATATTGTTCTGTTGAAGGAACGTCTGCACTATGCGGGCGACATGTGGGCGTGCATTAGAATAGAATGATCGACGATTTCGTTGAGGATAAGCAACACATGAGGTTCCAAAATCTCATCTACATAGCGAATGGCCGTCAAAGACCCTCCACGATCAACAACCAATTCTGTGCGGCGCTCCATTGAAATCCTAGTTCACGCCATTAAGGAACCACGTTGGAGAGGTTGGCTCTGGGAAAAATTACAGGCTGCATATCTTTCGTTTCTTCTTCTCCACACCCTTTCACGCCCGTCTGAAGATCGAAGAGCGAATCTTGACTCATAAAAAGTATAGCACTCCATTCGTCCATAGTCCAATGGCTGTGTACTCGAGTAAAAGCCAGCCGTGTTACTCTGTGAGTTCT